ACCAGTGGAGTATCTTAGATGGCCGCTTACAGGCTTTTAAGACCCCAGACACTACTCACCAAGGTAGAATGTAGAACATTGTCTTTATAAACTGTGTTACGCCAGTTGAGCTAGATGTTCCCCAAGAATAGGTCAGTATTTTTTAATCAAACCTGAGTTTGGAAACATTCATGATTAAGAATGTTTTTATTTGAGTTTTGAATTTTTATACTTGGAAGCCCTGGTGGTACAGTGGTTAAGAGCTCAGACGGCTAACTAAAAGGTTGGCAGTTGGAATCCACCAGCCACTTCTTGGAAACCCTGTGGGGCAGTTCTACTCTGTCCTGTAGGGTCGCTATGAGTCAGAATCAACTCGATGGCAATGAGTTTTGGTATACAGGATTGTTGGCTTAAATAATAAGCAAGGAACTCACAGAAGGCCTGTCTTTCTCCTAATTCTACCCACACATTGTTTGACAACAAATAAAAAAAGATTCTTTCTGAATATAACTTTTGTTTTAAAAGTGTTTATTTTTTCTTCACGTCATAATTGTACGTTTGAGAACTTACCCTAAAGAAATAATTTTCAATGTAGGAAAAGCTCAATATATTAAAATATTTCCTAAAGCATTAGTTCTGAGAACAAAATATTAGAAAAAATCTCCACGTCCAGTAACACGAGAATGACCAGTTATGGTGAATCCTCATGATGGAACATTACGCAGACTTTGAAATTATTTGTAAAGATTATCTAATATGAAAAAATGTTTATGATAGAATATTATTAGAATAAAGCTGTATACAAAATTACATGTATAGCGCAATAAAACCTGTGAAAGCTGGAGCCTGTGTAAGGCAGAAACCTGTCAGAGAAGGAAAGCTCAAATATATTTTACTAAAACGAGTGATAGGAAAGTGGTGAGACTGCCCCGTCAAAGGTAGAAAACTTGCGAGAATGGGATAAACAAGGCAGTCCGGTCGAGTTCTGGCTCTCACAGGTTTTACTAATTCTAACCTTGAAAAAAGCGAAATTCTGGACATAGAAGATATCTAAGGATGCCCTCTTTTACTTTTCTCAAGTGCCAGTTTAATTGATTTTCTAATTATTAGACTTTGCATGCTTTAATGTTTAAAGACAATCATATTCCTCATAAACTAATTCTTTCCTGTGACGTTGGTGTCCCTGAAGTGACTGCTATGTTGAGATCAGTCGGTTGAGCAGGCTGAAGTGGCAAGAGGACCTCCCTGAGGCATTTACTTTAGTCTTCTGGGAGATGTTCCCATACAGACCCATCAGTACAGAGTAAAGGGCCTGGCTGCTCTGTCATTAGGCACCTGGTACAATGTTGCTTTGTTTTCCATAACCGACTTGGAGCCAGCAGCTGCTAAGGAAACAACTTTGTACCAAAATGTAAATTCTGGACTTCACTTGCTTTTTTTTCAGGCCATTTATGCCAGTGTTCTTCCTGGAGAGTTAATGAGGGGGTACATGACTCAGTTTCCCACCTTTCCAAGCTGGCTGGGCAAGTACTCATCTACAGGCAAACATGATCGTGTTGTTCAGGACCTAGCGTTGCACATGAGTCTCAGGTAAGCGGTATTACTCCATTTCTGGCATTTTACTGGTGTGGTGTTTTTAGCCTTTATCCAAAAAAGGATAGCATGAGTCAAAAGATCTGTGTTTTAGTTTTGATTTAATGCTAACTAGATTTATGATCCTGGATAAGTGACTTTTATTTTTTCGGTCTTTGTTTTATCATCTGGAATCAGGATAACACTTGCGAATCACTTAGATTGTGAGGATGGCACAGGACAGGGCACTGTTTTGGTCTGTGGTACATAGGATTGCTATGAGTCGGAACTGACTCAGCGGCACCTAACAACAACAACATCACTTAGCCAGATGGTAAATGTTTCATGACTTTAAAATTTAAAAACTATATACATCTGAGGTGATGCTCTTATTTATTGTACTATTACTGCACTCGACTGCTAACTGAAAGGTCGGCAGTTGGAACCCCCCAGTCGCTCTGCGGGAGAAAGGTGTGGCAGTTTGCTTCTGTAAAGATTTCAGCCTTGGAAACCCTACTTTGTCCTATAGGGTCACTATGAGTCAGAATCGACTCGATGGCAACAGGTTTACTACTATGCCTCTTACTAGTAGGACTCACTTCTCAGCTTCAGAATAATTTCATAGGAAAAAATGAACTGGTTAAAAAAATAAACTAGTTTTTACCTATCTTAGCAGCTTAGCCATTTGAGATAGTTGATACAGTTTCGTGTATAACAAGAAGAAGACACACAAATAATGGAAAACCAGTGTTCTTGTTGAAGTTTAATGAAGTTCAAAACACTTGTATTTGGTACAGTATTGTTTAAGTTTAGAAACTTAGAAAATGTGCACGCACATAAATATTAAGTGCACTTTGGGGATTCATTTTTAACCATAAGAACTACTTGAGCTGTCTTCTTATTTCCTTTCTGGTCCCTGGAAGGTATGTTAGTATTTCGTCCCCAGGTATACATACCCTTAGCTTTTGGTTAAAGCTGAACTACTGAATTCCTTTCTTCTGTTCCTATCTATTTTCCACTGTGTTTCCTCTTCCTAGGCTATGGCCTGAGTCTTTTTTGCCAACCTTGTACTATTGCTGCTGTAACAAATTACCACAAACTTAATGGCTTAAAACAATACAGATTTTCCAGCACAACTAGATGGTGCCCAGCTACCACCACCGACTGCTCCGACAGAGATTACAATAGAGGGTCCCAGACAGAGCTGGAGAAAAATGTAGAACAGAATTCTAACTCACAAAAAAAGACCAGACTTACTGGCCTGACAGAGACTGGAGAAACCTTGAGAGTATGGCCCCTGGACACCCTTTTAACTCAGTACTGAAGTCACTCCTGAATTTCACCCTTCAGCCAAAGATTAGACAGGCCCATAAAACAAAATGAGACTAAATGGGCACATTAGCCTAGGGGCAAGGATGAGAAGGCAGGAGGGGACAGGAAAGCTGGTAATGGGGAACACAAGGTCGAGAAGGGGACAGTGTTGACATGTTATGGTGTTGGCAACCAATGTCACAAAGCAATATGTGTATTAACTGTTTAATGAGAAACTAATTTGCTTTGTAAACCTTCATCTAAAGTACAATTTAAAAAAAGAAACAAAAACAAACACATTTATTCTCCTGCAGCTCCGTAGGCCAGAAGAATCACTAGGCTAAAATCAAGGTGTCTGCAGGGCTGGGAGCTTTAGGGGAAAATCTGTTTTCTTTCCTTTTCCAGTTTCTCGAGGCCACCTGCATTCCTTGCTCATTGGCTCTTACCTCCATTTTCAAGGCAGCAGCATAGAATTTTCAAATCTCTCTCTGCTCTGATATACCTGCCTCCCTTTTATAAGGACCCTTGTAATTACCTTGGGCCCACCCAGATAATCAGTCTAGGATCATCTTCCTATCTCAAGACCCTTTACTTAGTCACATCTGTCAAGTTCTTTTTGTACTTTGCAGTTATGTGGTAACATATTCATAGAGATTAGGGTTTGGACATTTATGAGAGGCTATTCTGCCTACCACAGTTTTCATCCTAGCTTTGCTGTTCCTCCTTCTCTGTTGGTCTGTCTGAGCTAGACCAGCAGCTCCTGACATCCCCCCTCTTGCTACCTAAGCCCACTGTTTGGTCCTCCTCTGCTGCCCTTTGCTTACCTTTTGCATCCCATATTTTAATTAACTATTAAATAATTACTTCTATAATTTTCAGGCTATTCAGACTATTTTAATTTACTGGTTCTGTTCCTCACTGCTCTTTGCATTGGTCAAGCTGAGGGCCTATCAGCTCGGTCCCTTTCCTGCTTCCTGCTCCCCACTTTTTGAAGGTCTGTCCTAGGCTGTCCCTCCTTGATGTTCCCACTGTACTCCATGGAGATTCGAGCGCTGGATTTCAGTGTTGCTTCATGGCTGTAATTTTGTATGTCTGTCACCTTCCCCCATTAGACGGAACGTTTCTGGGTGTAGGAACTGAGGCTTGTTCATCTAGCACATAAAATTGGTTGATAAATGTTAACTTAAATGTATCTGTCCAGGATATTATTATCAGCAAGAACATCTAATTGTTGTGTTTAACAATTTTTTAAGTAAATTAAAACTTTTGCTATTTAACTTTCTAACGCTGATTGAGTCACTGGACTTCTATAGGCTTCAGTTTCTCTTCATCTGTAATAAATGGAAGCAGATTTTATTATTGGTTCTTAACTTTTTTGGGTCACAGATGCCTTTGAGAATCTGAAGGCTTTGATCTTTATTCTCAGAAAAATGCATGTATGCATAAATGATAAAATTTTAAGGGATTTATGGATTCCTAAGATTAAGGTATATTAGATACTACCTTTAGGCTTTTCTAGACTTTATGTTCTGTAATTTTATTACTAGGTAATAATTAACAAAATGCAAGATATTTTTCAGATGGTTTCATGATTTTCTAAGCACTGTGGCTGAGGGACTTTGCTTCAGGTATTAATATGCTTGATTATGAAAGACTAAATCTAGAGAAAATGGATGAAATTAAAATAGGAGAGTTTTCTGAACTCTTTGCCTAGGTAGTAAAGCAGTTGTGGGGGGTAAGGTTACAGACCTCTGATCAGGAGAAGAACTATCTGGCTTCTGTGATTCAGACATTCAGTTACCTGAAGGCAGGAGCAGGACCCAGTAGGTAATTTTTTAAAGGACTTTTCATGTTTTAATGTGGATTCTGATATAAACGGCTTTTGAGGTTTCTTGCTTACAGTATGCATACTTATATATTTATATAATTGGTTTGAGGAGGGAGGCAGCTGGGTTGGAAAGATTTATCGAGTGGTAGCATTTGAAATATTGTTTTGTTCAGCTATTTTCTGTCTTCTTTAAGAAGGAATTGACAACATTTAAGAGAGAAAGAAAAACAGTTCTTTGCATGATAACGTTCTAGTTCCTAGCACATCAGACACTGTTTCTCTAGTCTTTCCCTGGCTGGTGTGTACCACCTTTTGATTTTGCAGGAACAGTCTCTGCAGTTTTATTATATTTGGGGAAATTCCTCTTCCCAGAACTGAAAATTTCAGAGTAACAGTATTAGAAATCTGAAGGAAGCATTCATATATACTTTTGTATGCTATAATCGGAGACTGAAAAGTGTTAAACAGACACTTACGTAGCAAGTGGCAGTGGCACTTGAGGTAGAACGTTTCTCTGCCTTTTGCTGATGGTTTTAATATTTTGGAACTTGGAGTGAGTGATCTTGATAGCTGTAATAAGTATGAGCACAGACACACTGTTGTTGCCTGGGCTTTAAGAGTAGGATGGACGTAGAACCCACCTTTGTGTTTTCCGTTCACTGATCCGCGTTGGTGCGTCTCCATCACTGATGGCAGCGCTCGGCTTCCCTGCACCAGTGGCTGTGTAGTAGGTGCCCCTGACAACCTGCCTTCTACTGGTTGTTATTAAAACTGGATTGAACTCTGCCTGATTAATTCAGCGCTGATATTGCATATATGACTTGAGTTGTGATATTTTGCCATTGACTGTCTATTTTGTTTTGGTTTAAGAACGTACTCCAGCAAAAGGACCGTAAACATGGATTATCTGTCACACATAAGGGATGCACTTGTACAACCCTTGGCCTCACAAGGGGCAGAAGGAGTGCAGGCTGTTGTTGCATTCATGGACACATATTATTTGATGAAAGAAGACTTTGATAATATCATGGAACTTAGCAGCTGGGGAGGCAAACCTAGTCCTTTTTCCAAGCTGGATCCCAAGGTGAATTGTTTAACCCTGTGGTTCTCCTTCACTTTTTAATTGCCAGGATTCTACTAGGAGTACTCCGGAGGTGTTTTAGATAGTTTAAAAAGGTCTCTTTTTGTTTTTTCTTAAATGCTTGCTTCTTATGTCCTGTGCTTTCCAAAGTTACTATTTGAATACAATAATGAGAGTAGATTTCTGAATTTGACTTTACGGTTTGTATTTTTATCTTTGCTTTATGCTGAGTGTAAAAGCAAGAAGTGAAATCTGAGGAACAAATATGTAAGTGTATTCCTTAGAGGGAGGAGGATGAGCCTTGGGAAGTAAAGGAAGCTGTGGTAATAGATTATTAAAATAAAGATGTTTTATTAGCCGAGGAATTTTGTGATTTTTCTTTTTCCTAGTCTGCCTAATCTGTCGAGTTCAGTATTTATTCCAGTTGGACAATCTATTGTAATAGTATATCCCCTGCTTTCTTGTTGTAATGAGCATCAAAAAACTAAAGTGATAAAACATGAGCATGTAATATCTAATACCTTACTCTTATGCCTATTTGGTGCTATTTTAGAAGGCATGTTCTCCATGGCTTACCTTTTCTAGAATTTGGCCTGACTTAATCGTTATCAGTAAACTCTCACAGCAGACATCCATTGTTAGAATTCATGGGCTAATTCTAGAGTTATGTTTAGAAGCTTTTATGTGTTTATGAAGTTTGAAGTTAAGCCTTTTCAAATACTTAATATTTCGAAGTAACTATTAATTACCATGGAGATCTGGTGGCGCAGTGGTTAACCAAAAGGTCAGCCATTCAAATCCATCAGCCGCTCCTCGGAAACCCTGTAGGGCAGTTCTACTCTGTCCTGTAGGGGTCGCTATGAGTCACAATCGACTTGACAGCAGCAGGTCTGGTTTTGGTATTAATTACTATGGGAAAGGCAATTTATGTGTTTTATGAGCTTTTTTCATTTATTGATTCACTAACTTTGCTTATCACTTTGTAGAAATGTGGACAGCACTGAATAGTTAAAAATGACGACTTGAAGTGCCCTCCCTCCCTTTTTTGGTCTGCCTAAAAGTTCCCAAATACTGATTCTTAACCTTTTTTGAATCATGGACCATATTGAGAATGTCGTGAAAAATCTGAAACTTTTCCCTATTATTATTATTACATACACTTACATATATAATGCATAAACCTTTTGCAAACAATTTTGAGGGGCTTTCAGGGTCTCTCAGAGTCTTTAGGCTTACAGAGTTTGAAAGACTTATTTGGCATTTAGTTGTTTTTTTAACTCCCTCTGCTCCTTTCACGTAGGTCAAAGCAGCCTTCACGAGAGCTTACAATAAGGAAGCCCACCTTACTCCGTATTCACTTCAGGCAATAAAGATATCTAGACGCAGCACAGGTCCAGTGCTAGATTCTGAATACAATGAAGAGTTAAATGAAGAAGACTCTCAGTTTGATGAGAAAGACCAAGATTCTGTGGAAACCGATGCTATGATCAAGGTAGTGTTTTAAGCTACAGGTGGGAGAAGCTGCGGTACTCCCTTTGAAAGAGTTTGCCTTCACTTGCGTGTAACTTACCTTCTGAATACTAGTGCTTGCTTAGTAAGTAGCAGAATAAGTTGAAAATACTTTTAATTTCTTTTTGTTCATTACAGTTTAGGGTCGAGAAGGTATAGATTTCATTATTATATAAACAGTCAGAACTGCCCCGTAGGGTTTCCAGGGAGCAGCTGGTGGATTCAAATTGCTGACCTTTTCGGTTAGCAGCCGCGTGCTGTTAACCACTGCGCCGCCAGGCTCCGCTCTTATCGTTGTGCTCCAAGAGCCAGATAGCAAGAAAATAGGTCACTGTATTGATAGTCATAGAACATCTATCCTTTTTATTTGACCACTGATGTACCCTTCCTTATCCACAGACACACATTTTCACAGCAGAGTCAGGAGAAACATTTGTCATGAAACCATTGCACCTTTTTGTTGTGTTTTGTTATAACCATTGAGATGCCTGTGGAAGTTTCTCGGAGCAAACGTCCTTGTCTTTTGTCAGGAAAGATTAAAATCAGTTATGGCCTCAGCTCACTCACTGGCTGAGGCAAAGGAATCACGTATGTGTCCTCCATGCTTAGCTGTGTGTGTGGCTCACTCTTTCCCCTCATTGCTGTTTTGTGAGTGCTGGCGTAGGCATAATGGATCCCCTGCGAGTGTAGCTCTAGGCTCATGTAGACACAGGAGGTTGACTCCCTCTCACCCCTTCACAAACTGAAAGTGTTTAGATCTCTTATCTGAAACTTGAAATTCTTCATGTAAACATTGCCCTATTTGTAAATCATCTCCTGCTTATTTTGTCTTTCCTAAATACACCTATGTTCTAAAGCCAAGGAACTGCTTGCATAGTGAACATATTTTTGCTCTAGATTCTAAATAACTTTGTAGTTGTTACTGCTGTCTTTTAAAGGCTCTAACTAGCCCAGTTATACAACCGCTGCTTGAAAGTAAACTCATCAGGGGTATCGGTAGTGCAAGATCTAGATGCTTGCAACCTCTCTTCTCTTTTAATTAAGGTGGAGGTAGAGAGTAGACATATTGTAGAAGAACTTAATTCATTTACTCATAAACACAGCTATTAAGTATTTTTTGTGCATCTTTTCCCTCCCAACAGAAAAAGACAAAATCTTCAAAGCCTTCAAAATCAGAAAAAGATAAGGAGTCCAAAAAAGGAAAAGGAAAAAGTTTGAAGAAATGATGAAACTGCTTTTCACTACTGACAGCCACTTCTTACTCACCCTGCTGACCAGTCTAGCTGGTCTAGAGAAAGCCTTATTACTCCAGAGGAACCAGGTTTTGGCAGTAATGGGATGCCCGGTGGTCCCATTATGAATATATGGTGATACAGCTAGAAGGATGTAACCAGTAGGCTAATGTACACCTCTTATAGAGGTTGATAGGACTGTCCCTTGTCAATCGAATCAGATTGTTGTACTTCCAAATTACTGTGTATAATTAAAACTGGAAACTAAATGTGGGCTGTGGAGTCGGATTTTAGTTAACAATAACATGCCCTGGACCAGTGGTATTGAGGTGACTTTTTTAGGCTTAAGAATTTATCCTAATGGCCGTTATAGGACCTAAACTAATTTTTTTTTTTTAAAGGTAGTCAGTATTATGTGGTGAAATTTTGTAAATAAATCATAATACAAAACAGTCACCACTTAGAACTGAGTATTCTTTGTACATTGTCAAATACCTTGCAAAGTATAAATTAGGAATAAAAAATGTTCCACGTGATACATGTACAAATTCTTAAGCTTGTCATCTTGCACAGTAAAATATTATGTTGGTATGTTACTTTTCTTATTTGCAGATGATCAGGAAAAAAAGCTTACTGTATTCCCTACTAGCTGTTGTGTGAGACATAACTGGCAGTTGAAGAGTCGGAACACTTAATTACTATTTTCATTCCCTCTACAAGTATTATTGCACAACACCATGTGCTAACCACACTGCTGCTGTGAATGGAATTCATCACTCCTTGTTATACTACAGGGTGTAGGGGCTGCAAAAGGATTGCCAGATATTCTTATATTTCCAGAGCCTCAGCCCATCAGATTCAAACCAGTAGGGTGTGGCTGGGTCAGAGTTTTAGGCTCACTCTGATGTGGGACAAGATGAACACTGGTTTTGTTTAGTTGTTCCCTGGGAGATCTGGTTCTGTCCTGTGCTGGATTCCACAGACGCTGCTGGAACTTTAGATTGTACCTATAACTGTACTTTTTGAGCAGCGCTGAGGCTGTGGAACTAGCCTGGAATTTAGGGGCACCACTGTTTTTTAATCTTGTCAACAAATGCTCAGAGTAGCTTTGTGAAGTGTATTCTAAATGCCTTTAAAGAACTTATAGTCTTGTTTGGGAGATGATGCATAACGATTTTGAGACATTTAAAGTGTATTTACCAGTGTGAAAAATAGCTTTCATGTAGATTAAATTCATTACAGGCATAACATTGCCTAAGGCTTTGCCTACTGAGCCATGTCCCTCTCTGTTAAAACCCAGCTTGAAACTCTTCTTCAGTGAAGGTTTCCTTGACTGACGACTGCCTTACCCCACCAGTGGGGAGAGAATGGCCGCCTTATGCATATGCTTCCATTTCTGTTCCTTTTGGATATGCAAGTCATGTCTCCTTAGTTGCTCTGTACACCCTGGGAAAGGGGCTGTACTCTTGCACCCAGGACAATGAATAGTGTCACTTACTAGTTCATTATGATTTTGTTTTTAATTATAAATGCTTTAAACACAAGATTGGCATATGTGTATAAGAAAAATAACTTTTCTTTTAGGATTAGAAGCTGTAAATATGCTCTTTAATATAAGAGAGTGACAACATGGCTCTGTTTGATTTCTCTTCCCTCCATGACCACGAGACGTATGGCTAGGGTTAATGGTAGGAAGGAGTTGGTGGTTTTACAGCAGTTTGGATGTGAATCTAAGTGGCCTACATAGGGACTGAACAGGTGCTCTCTCATTGGAGCCACTAGATGCCACACATCTTTGAGGCATGAGACTGCACACTTGCTCTTCTTGAAATCAACTGGGTCTCAGCCATTTCATAATCTGTAACAAACTGCTTCACTTTATCCTTCATTAAACACTGGCAGTCTGCAGCACCATTATTTGGCCTCTTGAAGTTATTAAGAAGCAGCAGATTATTATATGTCATGGAATGAGTATCATCTTCCTACTCATTCTGGTAAAATTATGCTTATGAGTGAATGTCTAAGGCCCATGACTCCCAAAATATAATGTGCTCACCCTCACAGAATCCCAAGTGCCTATGGTTCTTATTTCTATCAATCACCTTAGCTTCCACTGATAAGATGCAGGAATAAAAAGGGGACCTACGGGTAGGTTTTAGTAAGGCCAAGGCCTCCAGCCTATTCTCTGGCCAGCCACTGAGAAAGAAGAATGAGTCATAAAGCTGGAGGCATCATGCGTGGGTAGGATACCTGGACGCTTTAAAACATTACTGGCACTTTGGGTCTTAGCCTAGATTTGTAGGTACTACTATAATGCTTAGACTGCTGGCGGCTGTACATTAGGCTACATGACTCATTTTTGTCAAATGCTCAGACTTTGGTGACATCATTAGCCTTCCATGGCAAGACAATGTATAGGCTGTAAGAAGCTGTTGTAGGAAACGTATGGGGGTCCTTGGGGTGTGTGTGCATGTGTGTGTACGTGCATGTACATGTGTGCATGCACTGGTGGAGGTTGGGGGGAAGATGAGGAGAGCCTTCCAACAGCCTTGGAAAAGATTCCAAATAATATGCATTTTAAGGAGAGGTCAAACGATTTAATTTTGTAACAAATTCTATAGTATGTAGTATAATGACTCATCAGATATAAGCTTATGGTTTCATTCATTTTTTCAAATATTGGCTTTACTGGTTTTTAGTATTTTGATTCTAGGACTGATTCTACTAAATAGCCTTGATTTGTATAAACCTACTTCAGACTTTTAACAGTGTTTATCTCTATGCTGCACAAACTTAACAATGTGCTTCCTTTATCTCTCTCTTTTTTTTTTTTTGTCTCCATACCCAGGAAAACATTACAAATATCTAGTCAACAATTTTATTTTAAAGGAGATATTCCAAAATATAAAAGTTATCAAAATGCTAAATATTTACAATTAGGTCATAGGTTACTATTAACAGTGCAGAGCATAGAATATGTAAGACTGTGAAGAGGAGATATACAAAGTACAATAAACAAAGACTATGTATCACCCATCTTGCCACTCTACAGAAGTTGAAAGGTGCTGATCTTGAGAGGTCACCTTTGTTTATTTTTCTGTGTCCAGGGAGGACCACCTCCAAATCCACTAGGAGTGGAAACACAATACCCGTGGAAAAATGCTAGTTTCACAGGAACTTTATATCTAGAAAGGACAAACAAAACACATGGTTTTAGAAGGGTCTCACGTAACAACCAGCGTTCAGAGATTTTTTTTGCTTATTTCCAGAATGTGGAGCAGGAGCACTAGATTCAAGTTAGAAATCTCAAGTCTATAATTAGTGTTGGGTTCCAGTCCTGGCCCTACAACTGACTAAAATTGTGTGGACAAGCTGTTGAGCCTTTAGTTTTTTCAATTATAGACTGAGGATGATGATAACACCTCAGTGGGAAGAATGAGAAAATGCAAGATAAGTGCTTAGCAATCTATAGAGAAAAATCTTTCCTGATGTTAAGCAGTTCCATGTCTAAAGAGAATCTGTGACAATAGCTTCAGCCATTATCCACTGTATAAGAAGACACAGTGATTTTAAAAAAGACAGGGTACAATTGTAACTCTGCAAGGACCTATGATACCATGGTTTAGGTACTTGAAGTTTTCTAAGGCTCTATTTTAATGTAGGCATAGTGTTTGGAGAGATTTTATGGAGGATTATTAAAAATATAAGCAAGGTTCCATTTCTGGTAGTGGCAGAGTTACAAATTAATCTTCCTACAGATCATACTTACAAATTCTGGACAAAATATAATAAACTAGTCAAAGGTAGTGGACAGCAAACAAGCAGGCATAAACTGAAAAAGTATCAACCCTTGAAAGAAGAGAACTCCACTGGGTAAGATTTGTGCTTAAATGCTTTTCACTTGAGAGCAAGTTCATGAAGGATGGGATGGACAGAACTTAAGCACGGATGGTGCAGTCTTACTGGTTTGAGGAGTCTGAGAATAGAGTTAATGGCTGCCAGACTTGATGGAATGTGAGGGTGGTTATCCTGAAAAGGAGGTTGCTTTCAGACTGCGTATAAACTCCACCCAAATCTTTGAACTTCGCATGCTTGGAAGAAACTCCAAGGAGCCTAGTTTGATTTTAACTGCCTCTTAGAACCAAAATAATACTCTATAAAGGAAAACAGAATCCAGAGTTTCTACAATATCTCATCCACAATGTCCAGTGTATAATATTACTAAATATGTGGGGGGGGGGGGGAAAGAACATATGACAGGTAAGACAAAAAGCATTCAATATAAAATGATCCTGAGATGACCCAGATGTTGAAATAACAAAGGACTTTAAGCAGCTATTTTAAATATGTTCAAGGATTTAAAGGAAAGTATGGTCACAAGGAATGCACAAGGTCACAAGATGGGGGAATGTCATCAGAGAAATGGAAACTAATTCTAGAATTGAAAAGTATGACATCTGAAATGAAAATTTTACTTAGAAGAAAGTGTCAGTGAACTTGAATATAAATTATCCAGTGTGATGAAGAGAAAACAGATAAAAATGAAAGAACCTTAGCGACCTATGGATATCAAGCAGTCAAATATGCACATAATTGGAGTCTCAGAATGAGAAGATAGAAAAAGTATTTGAAAGAATAATGGTCAATAATTTCCCAAAGAGAGAAAAACAAAGATTCAAGAATCCTAGAACATACAAAGCAGAATAAATAAAAAGCCACACCTAGGCATGGTACAGTCAAGCTGAAAACCAAAGTTAAAAGAGAAAATCCTGAATGCAGCCACAGGAAAACATTACACACAGAGGAACAATGACATCTGATTGCTGACTTCTCATCACTAACACTAGAGATAGAAGACAATGAAATGATATCTTCAGAATGCTTTAAGAAAAAAGATGTCAACTCAGAATTCCATATCCAGTGATAATATCTTTCACAAATGAAGAAAATACAGAAAAATAGTTGCGAGCAGTCCTGCACTATAAGAAATGTTAAAGGATGTTCTTCAGGTGGAAAGGAAATGACACCATATGGAAACTGGAAGGAAACAGGAAGAAAACAGGAAATGGTAAATATATGAATAAATATAAAGCAACATATCTTCTAAGGAAAAATTATCATTGTATTATAGGGTTTATAACGTAGCTATACGAATACATAACAGCACAAAGGAAGGACGGGCAGGTGGGGTAAATGGAACTGAACTTTTGCAAGGTTATTACATTTTATGTAAAGTGGTATTAACTCAGCAAACTGTGGTAAAGATATGAAGAATTATGCAAAGAGGTAAGGGAAAAGTCAATAGAGGAATAAAAATGAAATACTAAAAAACATTTGATTAGCCCAAAAGAAAGCAGGGCAGGAAGAACAGAATAAAAAGCCAGTGAGACAAATACAAAAAACAAAATGATATACCTAAATCCAACCTGATAATAAAACCTGAATAAAAACAAGAAAATTACAGACCAATATCCCTCATAAACATAGAAAAAATTTCCCAATAAAATATTAGCAAATCAAATCTAGCAATACATAAAAAGATAATACATCATGACCCAGTGAGTTTATCCCCAGAATAAAAGTTGACTTTAACATTCAGAAATCAATATAATTTATCATATTAACAATAAATGAGCAAAACCATATAATCATCTTATCTGATACAGAAAAAGCATCTGACAATATTCAACAGCAAACTAGTACTAGAAGGAGACTACCTCAATTTGATAGAAGGACTCTTCCGAAAAACCTACAGCTAAACATCATACTTAATAAAGTGAAATACTGAAAGCTTTCTCCGGAAACTAGGAACAAGGTGAGGATGTCCACTTTATTACATCGATACAACATTGTACTGCAGTTCCTAGCTAGTGCAATATTATAAGAAAAAGAAAAAGCATAAAGACTGGAAAGGAACAAGTACAGTTTTCCATATTTGTAGGTATAACTGTCTACATAGAAAATCCTTAGGAATCTGCAAAATAACTACTAGAAGTGAATTTAGCAAGGTTGTAGGATGCAATGTCAATATGAAAAATTACATCTCCCTATACAATTAGAAAATGAAAAATTAATTCCATTTAAAGTATTTGTCAGAACCCAGAATGACTTGGGAATAAATTTAACAAAAGACAAGCAAGACTTCTATACTGGGAATTACAAAATATCAAGAGGAACTGACCTAAAGAAATGTAGAGATATACCATATCATGGATTGGCAGATTCTATATTGTCAAAATACCAAAATGATCTACAGAATCAATGTAATCGTGGTAGGAGAATTTTAGGATGGCCCCCAAGAGTCTCAATTTTGGGATACCTCCCTTGTGTGATCATTTCTCCTTGAGTGGATGGGGTTTATGAATATGATGGGATTTCACTCGTGATTAGATTACATTATATAGCAAAGATGAAGGGATTTTTGCAGATGTAATTAAGGTCCCTAATCTGTTGACTCTGAATTCAAAGAGAGATTATCCTCAGTGGGCCTAGTCTAAGCAGGTGAACCCTTTAAAAGAGGGCCCAGACTTTTCCTAAAGGGAGAGATTTGAAGTGAGATGCTTTCATGCTAGCCTTGAAGAAGCACACTGCCATGGTGTGGGGAAGGCCTTGTGTCAGGATACTGCAGGCTGCCTGTAGGAGTTAAGGACCTCAGTCCTACAACTGTGAAGAACTGAATTCTGCCAACAGCTTGGAAGAGGACTACAAGCCTCAGATGAGATTCCAGCCCCAGTTGACACCTTATATAGATAGAAAAGATTAAGAGTAGTCAAAACAATCTTGGGAAAAAACAACAAAGATTGAGGATCCCTACTACCTAACTTTAAGATGTTGTTGTTGGGTGCCATCAAGTCCATTCATAGTGACCCCATGACAGACTTGATCTGCCCCATAGGGTTTTCTAGGCTCTAATCTTCATGGAAGCAGGTTGCCAGGTCTTTCTCCCACAGAGCCACGGGGTGGGTTTGAACTGCCAACCTTTCAGTTAGCAGCTGAGCACTTAACCATTTGCACTACCAGGGCTCCTTCTAAGACACCTTAGGCCACAGTAATTGAGACTATGTAATATTAAAATAAGGGACAAACACATCAAAGGAACAGAAGGTCCAGAAATAGACTCATACATAAACATCCAACCGATTTTCAACAAAGGCACCTAAGCAATTCAATGGAGAAAGATTTTTCAACAACTGTGCTAGAAAAACACCATTAAAGAAAAAACAGGCTCCCACCCACCTCCCATTGTAAAGAAAATTATTTTGAGATGCATCACTTTTAGAGCTTCTAGAAGAAAACATAGGAAAATAATGTTCCTGACTTGTGAGTAGGCAATTTTTTTTTTTTTTTAAACCACAGGACATACGAAGCAATAACCATAAACCAAAACAAAACAAAATTTATAAATTTCATTAAAAATCTGCCCATCAAAAGACACCATTAAGAAAATCAACAGGTAAACCAAAGAGGGAAAAATATTTGCAAAACATAATCTGACAAAGAACTTATGTCTAGAATATATTAAACTGTTGCAACTCAATAAAAGGGTAACAAATTGGTACCAAGACCATTCAATGCGGAAAGAATACTTTTTTCAACAAATGGTGCTAGGACAACTGGATACCCACATTCAAAAGAATGAAGTTGGACCCCTGTTCTGGTACACCATATACAAAAATTAAAATGGAACAAAGACCTAAATATAAGAGCTACAACTATAAAACTCTTAGATGGAAACATAGGAGTAAATCTTTGTGATTGTGGATTAAGCAATGTTTTCTTAGACATGACACCAAAGGCACAAGCAACCAAAGATGGGGGGTGGGGTGGGGAAATAAACTGGCCATCACCGAAATTAATTTCTGTGATTCAAAGGACACTATCAAGAAAGTGAAAAGACAATCTACATAATGGGAGAAACTTTTTGCAAATGATTTTTTTGATAAAGAGCTTGTATCTCAGATACATAAAGAACTTTTACAACTCAACAATAAAACTCAATAACTCAATTAAAAATTGAGCAGTTCTTAGGTGCCATCCAGTCAGTTCCAACTCATAGCGACCCTATGTACAACAGAATGAAAGAAATGCTGCCCGGTCCTGCACCATCCTCACAATCATTGTGATGCTTGTGCCCATTGTTGCAGCCACTGTGTCAATACATCTCATTGAGGGTCTTCCTCTTTTT